TTTCCCTTCTTATTCTTCCAAGATAATGTGGTTTTATGTATGATTACACTTTTACTAATGATATAAAAAGGTATAATAAAAAGGTATAATAAGAAGGTATTATATTGTGTGCTTTTTATGAAGGGAATGGTAAAAACATGAGCTGTTGAACCTGACGGCCTTGTTCTAGAATGCTGACTATGTCACTTGTTAACTTGAGCAGGTGACTTAACCAAGTTAGAGCTGATAATAGAGCTGATACTAGTGCTACCTCACAGGGCTGTTCAGAAGATTAAATGGATTAATACCAGCACTTAGAACAGTGGTTGGCATATAGAAAGTTGCAAGAAAATTCTGACTATCATCATATCACCACATTGCAGGTAACCTATTTCAACTTTTTCAAACTTCAACATTATGTGTTAGAGATCTGGCCATATTGATCCTGTCGATCATGTGATCCTGTCAGCTTCTCTTAACATTTTCTAGTTTGCACAAAAAAACGGTGAGGTCCCCATCTGGTCTCCTCCTGCTGGACAGGGAGGTCGCTCCCATCTTTCACTCATACAGCAGCGCTGCAGCGAACATGCTACTTGCTTCATGCCCAACCCAAACACCTCAAATACCGAACTTCCAACACCTGTTGCCACTCACAAGCTTCAGCTCCTCAGGAGGGCTCCCTGTTCCCTCTTCTCCTTTGATGCCTCTGCACACTGATGTGCTCAACAACCGTGTTACCTGCTCTACCATCAGCCCATGAGGGCAGGGGCACAGCAGTCTCATTCACTATGATTCCCACACACTCTTGTCTAGGGCCAGTGCTGAGGAACTAACACACAAGTGTTCACTGAAAGCTCAGTTGGTTAAAGCGTCGTCCTGATATGCAAAGGTTGTGGGTTCAATCCTGGGCCAGGGCATATAAAAGAGTCAACCAATGAATGTATAAATAAGTGGAACAACAAATTGATGTTTTCTCTCTCTCAAATCAATAAATTAAAAAAATGAGAAAATGAACTATCTTTTAAACTTGCTGTTATTTTGGATTTTGTTACATGTAGCCTGAAAGACCTAGACCTGTGGCCATCCAAACTTTTGGGTGATATACAAGGGGGTTACTGGTTGAAGGAGGTCAGGGAAGAACTGAGTCCCTCCAACCAGGCCCCCATTACCTCTCCCATGGCACTAGGGCACTTCTGAAGAACTCCAAGGAATGGTTTGAAAAACCACTGACCTTGCTCACGCCTTCATTTTACAGATGGAGGACTGCAGCCAGAGAAGGGAAACAATCTGCCGAGTCGCACAGTGAGCCAGGGAACCCATATCCTTACCCCCAACGGACAATTTTCTACAGTGAGCAAGTGGCCACTATTTTATTATTTTTTAAATTTTTAATTGATATTTTTAGAGACAGGAAGGGAGGAAAGGGAGGATGGAGGAGTGGGGGTGGAACGACATCAATGTGAGAAACATCATTTGGCTGCCTTCTGTAGGCTCTCTGACTGGGGAATCAAACCGGCAATTCAGGTATGTGCCCTCGATCGGGAATCGAACTGGCAACCTTTTGGTGCTTGGGATGACACTTAACTAACAGCCATTCTGGCCAGGCAGCTTCCACCTTTTGTCCCTTGGAACATTCCCTCCTGGGTTGCACCCTCGCAGAACCCGGCCACCATGCCATGCTCTCAGAGTCCAAGCCACATGGAGAGGTCAAGTGTATCAACGCCAGCTGACTGCCCAGCCTTTGGGAGGTGGTTAGGCTTTAGATGAGCTCATGAGGGTGGAGTCCTCATGATGGAATCTGTGCTCTTATAAGAGACAGAGAGTTTGCTCTCTCTCCATGTTTGGAGATAGCAAGAAGGCAGTGCCTGCAAGCCACGAAGTCCTCACCAGAACTCAACCATATTGGCACCCTGATCTCAGACTTCCCAGCCTCCAGAACCATGAGAAATAAATGTCCGCTGGTTAAGCCCCCCAGTTTGTGGTGTTTTGTTAGAGCAGCCCGAGCTGACGAAGACCAGGTCTCAGCCCTGCCGATCACACATCCCGTTTGTCCTTCAGAGCACCACGTCTTTTGGAACAATCTTATGTAAAAGTATTCACTGTCTCCCCCATTAGACTCGCCTCCATCAAGGCAAGGGCCTTAACTGCCTTATTCTTGCCTGGATCCCCAGCACCCACACCAGTGCCTGACACTCAGGAGGTGCTTCTTAACTGTGTGGGAGAACGGCATAAAGGAAGGCAGCTGCCCAGGCGGCCCTGACTCCCTCAAATTGCCTCCAAGGACCTCATCTTCTCTCTCAGACTTCTTTTCCTAAAAACCTGGCTTCCTCAAGCCCTCACACAATTCCTACGACCCAGTGAACTACAACAAGACTGTGGGGCAATAAAAAGGTGTTTCAGCAACATTCCTCGACTGATGCATCCATGCAGCACTGCCCCTTCTTTTCCAACCAGGACTGTGTGCTTTTTCTGGCTTTCTGGAATTTGCTGCTGGAGCTGCTTTTAGAGCTGGTGTCATATTTTCTTTCTTCCCGGCATTTTGTGATAAGGGGCAAATCTCTATGCATTCAGGGCAGGTCTGCCTTCTGGTAATAGCTCCAAGTTCTTCAGAGTGGAATGGGGAGAACCAAGTAGGTGATTAAATGGGACTGCACTACCTGGGATTAACAATGAGGGGGATTAGAATTTGCCATAACTGAGCAGCTCAGGAACTAGCTCTGAAGGTAAGTTCCAGATAGGAATTGGCATAGCTGTTTTCCCCACGGTGATTAAGTATGGGGGTGCTCTGGAGTCAGGCTGCCTGCATTCAAATCCCAGACTGTCACTTCAGGCTGTGTGATTGTGGGCAAGTGACTTGACTCCTCTCTTCTTCAATTTCCTTACCTGCAAAGCACACATGACAATAACACCTGTCCCAAGAGGCTTGTGGAAGGATTAAGTGAATTACTACCTTCGAAGACTTAGAACAGTATCTGGCATATAGTGGGCACTAAATAAACATTAGTTCTTATTACCTACTAGGGGCCCGGTGCACGAAATTCGTGCACTGGGTGTGTGTGCGGGGCGGGGGGGGGGGCG